TTGGAATATTCTTTTAATGCGCATGTCGCATTCTCTTGTTATTCAGGTTTCGTGGACGCTCGAATAGATAGAGGCGCATAGGTATCAAATAGCAATAGCAATAGACTGCAAATTCAACATCACTTGACAATATCAACACCGAAGTATGCTTGGTTTGAAAAAGGCGTAAAACAAAATGGAGAAAGAGATTGCCCTAGGCAAAGCTATGTAGTAATAAAATTTCCGAACAACGACTGAAAGAAGAGGGTGTTACATGACCTGAGAAATTGTTAGCAAGAAGAAGAATTACCCAGGGATCAAGTCGAAGACATACCTCGGCGATTGACTGCCGCTCAATGATTGATTTCTGTCTCTCATTGCGCGAAACACGGTAGTAATAGTCGCTGAAGTCACCACATTGCATGTGGCGTAGGAATTCTTCATCATGTGTGATGACAATCAACTGGAAGTTGGCCTGCTGCTGGCGAGTGCGGATAATATCATGCAGCGACTCCGCCAGAGAGCGAATATTGTCTCGATCCAGGTTCGTAGTGGGCTCATCAAGAGCAATCAGACCGCAATTGACACCGAAACACTCCGCAAGGGCAAGGCGAATGATGATACTAGCCAGAACCTTTTGGCCTGCACTGCATCGGCCTCGCATGTCCATCTCGGCGCCCGACTTGACCATACAAACGCGGTAGTTGTACGATCGGTTGCCCTTGGCGTTCTCATTGTCGGACCGGATGAGGATTGTGTCAACGTCCGTTCCCCGATAGGTCTTCTGCCACAGTTCGCCAGCGATGGCGTTGATTTCTGCCATCTTTAGGCCGTGATATTGCATGATTGCTTTATCAAGGGCGCCACCGTATCGGGCCAAATCTTCGACGGCGGCTTTGGTGGTCTCGACCTTGATATGGGATTCCTTGTATTTTGAAGAGGCATCCTTATAATCTGTGTTCCAGTCCGCCAGCAGCTGCATCAACTGGTCGTCCTTAGACTTCATTTCACCCATCTTGCTCGCCTGTTTGGCAGCAAGTGCATTGTGTTCACGAGTCCAGCGTTCTGACTCTTGCTTGAAACGACCTCGGTCCACTTCAGCATTTTGTGCTTCTAATTGCTCAACTTCTTCAACAACTGCGTTGAGAGATCGAGTGGCTTGGCGATATGTCAAGTTGTCAGAGTATTGCCTCTTTGTGTTTTCACTGTCTTTAAGTTGGGTCGAGATTTTGTTGATCTCCTTTGTGATCTCGCTTTGATCGGCTTCGAGTTTACCAATTTCAGCTTCAATTTGTCGAAGCTCCTTCTTGCTTCGCTCAAGCTGGCCCGGACCTCCCCGTTGATTGTACGAGTTGATGTCGTCATTGGCAAGGTCAAGCTGATGGATGTTCTCGGATAAGCGGCTAATCTCATGCTGCAGATCTCGTTCGCGCTCGTCGGCTCGCTGACTGATATCATCATAACGGGCTTGGGCTTGAAGCAATTCCGGCGTGAGACTTTCGATATCTCGATCTGCCTTGTCGATTGCCTCCCGCTGCTGATTATTGAGCTTCTTGAATTCCTCCATCCGGACGGTCAGGTCTGCCTTCTTTTCCAGTTGGAATTTGGCGTTGTCTAGGTTGCTCTTCACGTCTCTGAACTCTAGCTCGAGCTTGTTGATCTCTGAGCGCGTCTTTTCTTTCTCATTTGTCACTTTCGTAAGAGTCTTTTTCAACTCCCGCGACTTTTCATTGATGGAGGCGATTTCCTCCTGGATGTCTTCCAGGGTACGAGCAGTTGAAGAATCTTGCTGCTTTGCAGAAAGCTCTTGAATTTGTGATCTGATTGTCTTGATCTCGACATCGTAACGCGCGATAGTGCTCACTGTCTTGGCAAGCCCCTCAATGTCACGTTTGCTTTCGGTCTTCTCGCTAACCTTTCCGTCCTGAGTTTCGAGCTTCTCCAGAAGCTGGTCACGCTGGGATTCACATTCTTGCTCTTCCTGTTCCAGTTCTGGAATGACGGTCTCTGACAAACGAACCCAGGTGTCGTAGGACGCACTAGCGGCGCGGGCAGTTTCGAGATCTTCTTCAAGACTCTTTAGGGTCTCGTCTTCGGCATCAAGGCCAGCCTTCTTCACTAAGGCATCCAGCTTCTTAGTGAAGGTCTGGAGTTCTGCCTCGTTCTTGAACGATCTTTGACATGTTCGACACAGCTTGGTGCGCTTAGCAGCATCAAGACATTTGGTGAGATACTCTCCCATTCCGGCATATTGATCAGCGTCTTTGCGAGCGAGATCGTACTGCGCCTGGCGCTCCTTCACAATTTCAGGGTATTCGGAAGGCTCTGCGTCGACTGCTTCATGGATTTCCTTCACGCATTCATCAAGTTCCTTTTGGCGTTGCTTGAGGTTCTTCTTGGCTGTCTTAAGTTTGAACTCTACATGCTCCAATTCTCGGCTCACGCCATCGCGCCCTCGCTCTGCATCGGCCACCTGCTTTGACTCGCTATCGAGAGCTTGCTGGAAGCCTCGCTCCAGTGTCTCAGGTTTCCAGTCTGGACCAACGACCTTCTCAAGCCGATCGCCATGGGCTCCTTTCATTGTTTGTAAACCGCGTTCACGGTCCTTCGATTCTTTCTTGAGGTGGTCTAGGCGAGCCAACTCCCCGGCCTTCTTGGTTGAATCGATAAGCTCGGCGTTCAATCTCGAGCTTTCATCCTCAAGGCGGCGAATTTCCGTATTGGTATCCTGGATATCTTGATCCCAGGAAGCAGTCTTGGCTCGCTCTTTGGCGCACTCAAGGTTTGACGTGATATCCTCTACTTTTGACTCAAGCGCAGCCTGGAAGCCCTCATCAACCTCGATTTCATTGAGCTTCTTTTGATAAGTTGTTGCCTCCTTGTCACTCGCAGCAATCTGTCGCTTTGCCGCATTCTTGGTCTCTTGGAGTGCGGACTTGGTTTGCCCAATCTCATTCAATGTTTCTTGAACCTCACGAAGCTCTTTCTGGGCTTCGCGCCTCACACGATCCAGAGACTGGTTCTGGTCTCTTAAAAGGCGTTTTATCTTCTGCATGAAGGTATCAATTTCAGACTGGTCCATCGCCTCATCGAGGCCACGGATGTTGTTGGCGCGCGCAATCTCATTGATCATGTTCTGGCGCCTTTGAGACTGACGCTCGAAATTGGCCTTGTCGTTCTCAAACTTCCCATTCTCAGCTTGTTTCAGGCCAAGGCGGTGCCGAGTCTGCTCAATCCGCTCCTTAATTTCCATATAGTTTTCCTTCTGTGACTCTTCTTGTTGCTGGTATTGGATCTTCTTCGTTTCGAATTGCTCCAAGGTATTTTCAAGCCATTCATCAGAGTCATCGAGCTCAACCAAATGTCTCTTGAGGTTGTCAATGGTTGTTTGGATACTTTTAGCTTCGATACGCTTGCCCTCAAGAGCACCGAGGACTTGGGCATAACTTTCTGATTGCGTCCAAGCCTTATCAGCAAGCTCCGCGACGCGCCGCATCTCTTGCGACATCCGCTGGGTCTCTTCGCGCAAGGCCTCGATTTCATCTTGCAGCTTGACGGATCGTTTTTCAGCACGGTCGGCCTTATCTTTGTCTTCTTTCGCATGCTGCTCCATGATCTTAAATTTTCCAAGCTCCTCGTTCTGCTTCTTTCGCAGTGCTTTGATGTTATCAATGGCCTTGGTGTACTTCATAGCCTCAAATATTTCGTCAAACCTCTTTTTCAGCACAGACGGTTCACTCATTGGCCACAGACTTTCGTCTTGGTGGCAGAAAATGACCGAATCCAGCACGGCCTTTGACACACCCAGATACTGGGGCATTATTTGGTCCAGCTCAGCCACTCTCGATGAAATAGCCGTGCGTTCGCCATTTTTGACCATAAGAAGCTGGCCTTCCAGGGTCTTCTGCTGCCGTGTCGTCTTCTTGACCGTAAGCTGTAGGCTGCGCGTGGCAACCATTTTCGCTCCGGACGTGGCCTTGAATGACAGCTTTACCTGGGCCAGTACCTCTTTTTCGCCACATAGTTTCGGGTCGTGGATGAAAGCACCGCCTTTGCTGTTCGGAGGAAGATCGCCCGTTGTGGCATATTTGAGACACTCGATGATAGTCTAGAACCGCGTCAGTTCCCTGCTGGTCGCAACTCCGAGTCGCCCACTTCGCCATTTCGTACCGTCTTTCCTGAACCATTGTATCCGACAATCAATGTGAGGGGTGTATGGAATTGGATTGTTTCGCTGCGTGTATTATCGAAAGATCGGACTCTAGAACAAGCGTGGTTTGATGAGCATGAATGTAATTACTCTCCGCAGTGGTTGCACTCGGATTAAAGCTTTTCAGAGACGTACCCCAGGATAGAGAGCTTATCGATCTTCGCTACATTATGTTAGATGGCCGATGGATCGTTTCGTTTTTCTCGCCGAGGTATAGAGCTGTTGCACTTACACCTAAAACCCAGTTAGCATCGCGAAACGAGGCGGGGAATGAGCAGCACTTACATTTTGAACACGAGCGCAGAGAGGGGTGTTGGAGCCCGTTGGCTGTTAGCTTTCCTCGACTACAATCAGATACGAGCTAAACAGAGAGAAGGCAGAGAAATGAAAAAGTGCTCGGATCGCCGTTGATTATGGTCGATCACATAGTCCCGCGTCAAGGCGACACGAAATCACGTGAATCGTCCTAAGGTGCGGAGACCCACAGGGATCGGCGGTGTTTTGTCAACCAGCAATGGCCGGCTCTTATTTCCAATGCTCCCTCTTTTCAAGGAGTCCAGACCCTCGATGTGTATATTCTGAGAGGCACATTGTCCAACCCCTCTTAGCCGAATGTACCGAATGTACCGCCTCGAATTTGGAGAATGAGCCATTCCATCCTCAACGCTACTATATCCGTCCCCTCGTGCGGCCATTGTGTCTTAGGGAAATCCCTTGGCCATTTATGAGAGGCGTCGGATTCAGAAGCACTCAAGCCTATCCCTGGTGCCATTATATCTCCCTAGCTTAATATCTCTATACTGCACTCGATATGGCTCTCAGTCGCCCACAACCTTATGAGGGTATGCCTCTACCCACCTCCCAGATGAGATTGAGCACCAATGAGGGGCATCCGGAGTACGCAATGGAGCAACAGCAAGTTCATGGATTCTATGGCGGGCACTACGAGGTGCAAGGTGCTCAACACGGGGGATACCAGGGCGTACAAAACGATGGGGGCTGGACAGAGCGAGTCTTGGATGAAATGAAGGACATGCTACTTCTCGTCACATCCCAGGGCCGGATCACCTATGCAAACCTGTCGTGCAAGAATATCACGGGCCGTGTTGCAAAACAACTCGAAGGAAGTCTTCTGGCGCAGTACATTCATGAGAACGACCGGCCAATCCTCCAGAGAGACATGGACGATTCGGTTGCCGCGAACCAATCGTTCCGTACCCATTTACGATTCCAAAAGACCAACGGCACGTATTGTCTCATGGAGGCGTATGGTCATCCACATATTGCAAACCAGGATGAGCGTCAGACAGGGAGAACCACAATCGCGAATGGGCGCTGCACGGGCTTTTTCCTCGTGTGCCGACCATATACCAGCAAGGTCTCGCAGCTCCTTGACTCCTTTTTGGAACACAAGATTGAGAACGCACGTCTGATCCAACAGATCGCCAAATTGAAGCAAGATGAAGATGAAGAGGGGACCGCGGCTCAGGTGCCCTATTCTAGGAGCGACCAGGATATTCGCGGCCCCTTGGCCGAGAACCAGGGTCAACAATCCGCTCCTTCAGGCGAATTATCTAGTGATCCTGATACTACGGATACCGTGGAGCCGAACTCGGATGAATCCGACACGAGCCAATCGACGGGCTATTACCCAGAACCCAATGCCCGCGAAGTTTACTCACACATCGACGGCATCGAAGTCATGACCGGTCTTAACTATGCAGAGGGAGAGAGATCGCAAGGCCTCAGTACAGGTGTCAGCCGTGGCCGTCTTATACATTGCGATATCGACATAACGACAGCTGCTGACCAAGAGCGCAACGCTCAGGAATGTGACCGCCGCAAAAGGCCCAAGGCCCAGCATGTGTGCAGCGACTGCGGAACGGCGGACTCGCCAGAATGGAGAAAAGGGCCTAACGGGCCTAAGACCTTGTGCAATGCTTGTGGCTGTAAGTTTTGTCCACCGCCTCTTGTAAACCCCACTCAGCGTGCTTGTAACCTATCTACTCTTGGCACGGAACGAGCTAACTCAGTCGCCTTTTCCTTCTAGTGCGCTGGTCTAAGAAGGAGAAGAAACGACAGGAGTCAGCCTAATTTTCAGGTTTATTTACTTTTCTGGCTGACCTTCCAAGGTCTCGCCGTACTTTTGCATAATCACGTCAAGATACCCCCCCTGGGTTTTTCGGGCGCTTGGCTGATCAAGGATGCTATCAATTGCGCTGGATTTTCAACGATCTTCAGATGAGCCCCATGGTCACTATCGCATGGGTGATGATGTTATGTCCTGTGAAATGCATCTCTTTAGTCCAATGTATATATATCTGGCCGGTTTTCCAAATTGGCCGCGTTCTATTTTGCAAATACTGTTGCACTACGAAATTTATATGTTCTTCCTTGGTAACTCAAAACTTGATTATGAGGAATTAAATGATTTTCAACAAAGTCCGAGCAAATCAAAAGTCCAACGCCGAAGATGATGACGGTATATACTAAGGCAATCCCTCGGAGAGGGCCAAAGGAACGGAACTAAGCTATCTGAACGCCATCATTGTCCCGTTAAATAATGAAGGTGATGTGTGGGCAACAACAGGTGGTATCACAAAAGCGACTTCACGGCGAACAACAATTCAACGCCCAGCCCGTTCAGGCCTTAGCAGCCTTCTTTGGCGGCGGCGGGAAGTACATCGGCGACCCTGTCGAACTCTCCGGGCTGACTTCATTCGATTGCGGCGACGGGTGTTGGGGCTGCGCGACGCGGGAGTTATCCCGCAGCGGCAGGTCCGATGCGGTACTACCATTGCCAAGTCGATTGAAGGCCAGCGTACGGGGTGCATAGGGTGAGATACTTCCCCCAACAGCTATGGGCGGAACGCCCGGGGTGCGGGGAACCATGCCTGGTCCTCGAGGCATTGAGCCGGGGGTCATGGGAATCATGCTGGGAGACTTGATGATCTCTTCTTCGAACTCCTTCTCGATGCGCCGCTCTTCTCTCTGCTCTAGGATCGATTCCCGTTCTTCGGGAGTGATGAAGCAGGAGTGGATATTGAAGCCGAGGATAACCACATAATAGAGACTGAGGGGCTGTTAGCTCCTCACTATTCCCTCGTAGAATGGAAGGGAGTAACGAAACATTAGAGTGGAAAGGGTCAAACTAACATCATCACGACGGTCACAGCAAACAGCGCTTTGGCTTGCATGCAGTATGGAATATTGGACTTTTTAGAGGCGACACTGCAACTCTTCGCAATGTACCACGGGGCCCCTGGCTGGGGATGTCTGGGGTCCGACGTGTCAGACCCAGCCTGATAAGCGGCTGACACGATGTAGAGAATTATCAAGGACCCGTGGACGGCGACCGCAACAGGAGGATAAAATAGGTTCATCCAGTGAGTAGGCAATTTTGTAATGAGGAAGAAGGTGCTCAAGACACCGAGGACAAGGTTGTAGTCAGTGATACTATTCCCAGGGTCAGCGGCCAGCTCTTGAATATTGGGTATTGTGAGTAACATACAAGCCGGACCAAACCATGGGGGCCTTGTATGGTCTGTAGTTTGATGCTGCATACAGTGCCTCATTCGGAGCACTGTTAAATCCATTGTCTGCTCCATCTTGCCATAATAATGTCCGGTAAAGATTGTGGGAAGCGATACCCGTCAATGTCAGCATTACGATGGTGAGCGGAAACTCCCCGGCCATCAACCAAAGGACAATCCTGTGGTGCTTATGCTTCTTTGGGAACATAAACAGCATTTTGGAGGTGTTTTGGAAGGTTCGCAATAAAAATCGACTCTATTTCTCGCAAGCTGACCGTTGAGCCGAAGCGCTTATGGTAGAATTAAAGCTGTGTACAATGCGATTTAGCCAGACCGGCTGGCTAAGGCATCCAGTCTGTCGCAGGTAAAGGGCCAAATGCTTTAGCGTGGTAGGAAAGGTCAAAAGAAAGTAAAAGAACACAAGTCTGGGCGACCCGGAGGACGAGCGTTAGATATGAGCGCGAGACCAACGAGTGGCCGAAGGCACAAGCCATCGCATGCAAGAGGGGGTACGAATCAGCATGGGAAGACCGTGCAGTGGGATTGATGTGTGTTTGGGAGGTGCATCTGGCCAATGCTTGATGGCGGCAAAGCGCCAGCGTAAGTAGCAACCCGAAGTCATCACACCAATAAGACGACGAGGATCGAGGGAAGACCGCCGCTCGTCACACGCTAGACGGTGTGATAGGATGGCAGATCTGCATGGAGCCCTCATCACATAATTCCCCTCAACAGGATCAGCAAAGACCCTGACACTCCAAGGGAACGTGCAGCCTTTAGTACGAAGCGCCTGCGAAACGCTGATGTGGGGGGTGATGTGAGTCGCATCTGTGACTATGCAGTGAACTGTACATATACCCATGCTACCCGGGAGTCAGGAAAATGGGAACAAAGAGGATGGTCTCTCGTTTGTGATAGCCATAGCCATCATTACTTCTCAAGTTGTCGATTTCTACCATGGGAAGTTGTTGAGTGATGGCTTAATGAATTGTTGTAGAAAGGAAGTCATGTGGTCGGCAGAGGAATCCCAACCCATAACTGACTCGGTCTAAGTTCAATACGATCATGCCATCTTTTAGGGAATTAATCAACTAAATCCATCCATTACACCCTTGTAGCTTGATACATATATTGATCTTTCTCGATGCAGTCGTTTTCCTTGTGTCCGCTTGCTCTTCGCTCAACCGTTCTCCGCATCATCCGGCCGAGTCAACTCGGATTTCGCTCCATTTCGAGAGCTACAGGCCAAATGACTTCCCAAAGAGACGAGTCAATTCCACACGAACTGCGTACAGCTGCAGAGCCCCGGCAAAATAGACTATATCCAGTGCGACTGTCGCACATCGAGCAGGTCAACCCCTCTGTCCGGCTACTACAGTTCGCTCTGCCTCAAGAAAATAATGTATGGGGGTCTTCTTTTTTCTTTTCTCTACTGTTTACTTTCCATATATGTGCTATATCCCGTGTCTCCGACTCGTATATTAAGCCCGGCTGTCAACTCCCGATGTTGCTGTCCGCCCTTAGATCCTATGCATATGCCCCCGCACGGCCAATCACACCGGGCCATATTCTATCACACGTCCAACCAACAGGCACCACTGACGCATTTTACAGGATAACAATCAACAGCCATTCAGCTTCCTCCCGGGCCAATGGCTTGATGTCCATATTCCCTCCATCGCCCAAGCGGGGGGTTTCACTATCACCTCCACCCCGGCAGATGCCCAAGTGCTGCCGTCACCAGAGGCTTCTATAGACTCATTAGCTGGCGAGGCGCTAGAACCATCTTCAGAATGTCAAGGGCGACCGCCATATGTTGAACTGGCTGTGCAAGACTCGCCCGGTAACCCATCCGCCGCATGGCTATGGAGACCAAAGGAAGAGATCCTAGGCAAGGAACTGAACATCCGAGTTGGTGGAAGCTTTGTCTGGCCTCCCACTGGAATCAGTATTAATGATGTTAAGAATGTGGTCTTCGTTGCGGGTGGTGTTGGCATCAAGTAAGTGAGACCTCCCAAACATCATCTCCCTTATCTCCGGGGTATCGACATACACTAGCACATATCAAGTCCTCACTTGTTTCAAAGCCTTATGAGAAAATTCTAACACAGTCTCAGCCCTCTGATATCCATGCTCTCCCACCTAAACAACAACGAACCTCACACCCCCAACCCCACAACCATCCACATCCTATACTCCAGTCGTCTACCGCAAGACCAGAGAAAAGGCTCGGCAGACGCAATACTCGACCAGATCCTGTTTCTCCCACGTCTGCGCCAGATAATCCGATCTCAAGAGAGTTCGCATCGGCTCCGTATCTCGCTGGACCTTTTCCTGACGGACCTGGCCTCGTCGCCTGATCTGCTCTCATCTGGGTCCCCTTCGGATCTCCAGATTCACCCAGAGAGAATATCTGATCGTGATCTGCGCTCTGCGGCTGTGGGTACAGATGGTGACTTGGAATCTCGGGGTACAGTATGCTATGTATGTGGACCGCCTGATATGACTGATTCCATTGTGGAGAAGTTGGTTGAGATGCTAGGGGACGGTGGGGAGCAGCGAGTTTTATTTGAGAAATGGTGGTGAGGATTGGTAGGCGATGTAACATATTCACATGAGATTAACTGCAGTGTTTGTTCGTCAATGAATGGATAGTCAACGTCACAGTCCAGGCCTGCGAGAATTAGAGCAGAATAAGACTAGGAGAGATGGCTTCAATATTTCAGAAAAAGACAAGACTCCCCGCAGACGCCGACCTAATGCAGGCAACGGGCAAAAAGATATATGTACAGGAAATAAGAGACACGCCGCCGAAGAACGGAAACGACAGTATGTGAGAGCAGGGGCAGTACAGTCACGCTGACATCTCGATACAAGATGGGGAAGAGGAAGGGAAAGGAGGATAGGGAGAGAGAAATCAGACTTCGTTAGGACGCTTCCTCCGGGCTTTTGACGGTACCGCCGTCCACGATCATCATTTCGTCGATTTTGGCTTCGGTTTGACCCCATTCTAGACGCTTGTATGTTGATACACGACCGGGACCTCTGTCGAAGTCGAAGAAACGGACTCGTCGAACGAAGTCATCGTAGCCACCGTACCCACCCAGTCCGACACCGCCGCCGTAGCACATCCAGAGAGAGGGTTTCGAATTGTCGTCTTGCTCGAGCATGCAATAGTCATTGACATGATCACTATAGAACAGTTAGTCTTCGGAACGACACAAAAGGAACCTTGGAAAGCAGGTGACTTACTGTCCACAACTGACAAACAAGACGCCCTCTTCTTCGAGGGCATCCTTGAAGCCAGAGTTGAAACCTGGTGCAGTGGGAGGTTCCATCCATGAACCCTTGAAGTACTTTCCTGATGTGCGATATTCAGGGAGCGGAATGTGGATGAATGCGACGTTCATGTGGATATGGTTATATTCCTGGTGTTTGCTTCTCAAGCTTTGGGCGGTGTTCTTGAACCACCGAGTTTGGCTCGGCTTGATCCAATCGTAGCCGCGGAACTGACGCTCGTCAGGGGAGTACGAATGTGTGTCAAGGAAATAGAGGGTCAGGGCGGAGTGTGTGCTTTTGCCCCAATCGAGGACTTCGACAACATAGTTGCCGACCCCGTCAATGTCTTCGGGGCCGGCGGCTGAAAGAGAGTAAGGGAGGTCTTCATATAGAGCCATGAGTTGTTCTCTGTTGAGGTCACCCTCGTCGTCGTGGTTCCCAAAGATGGCTGCGTAAGGAATCTTGCGATCGACCAAAAGCTTCACAGACTTATACAGAGCACTTTGTGCATCTGGGGCGGTCTCGCCATTGATCTGGTCACCAGAGAAGACCACCATGTCCGGCTTCTCTTCATCGAGAAGTCGTTCAACGAATTCCAAGGTTCGGGGGTCGGCTTCACACTTCTGGCCAGCCACGGCTTCCGCAGGAACAGGGTCACGACAGTGGCCGAGACCAGTGCTCATGTGGAGATCTGCCAACTGCATCACTTTGAATTTCCCGTTCTCGTTGATTCTGGGAACGGGTTTCTTTGGTTTGGCCTGCGGATGCCCTCTTCGAATACTAAGGCGAGTCTCCAACTCTTCCGTCCGACTATCCAGGAGAATGGGTGTATCTTTGACTTCCCAATTGGGACGAGGATCGACAGCATCCGCTCCATAAAGGACATCGACGTATGTCACAGCGCTTTCCGAGTCGCTAGCATGGCGGGAGGACGAGCGTTTGAGCCAGATGCCTCCCGGTCGGGGTTCCCACGCTTCGATTTCGGTCTTTCCAACAAATTCAGACTGGGGAGTGAGACGACTGATTTTCAAGTCGATGACCACCTTGTCATCGGGGCCCAATTCCTCCTCCTTTTTCCGCTTGAATTGAACGTAGGCACTCGAGGTCCAGCCCGAGCGCAGGTAGAGGTCCTTATCGACGCGGTACCAACTTTCTGGGTCTAGCTTACAGCTCGAGAATGGGTTGAGGGAGGAACATGCTGTCACGGTCACATCTGTGATCACGTATCCGGAATAATGCGACGGAAGATGGCCATGGATTGAAGAGGGAAGGACACTAAATCGATTATCGAGAATGACCACCACGAGGAGAATAAATGTTGCGAATAAACTGAGCTGTACGCTCGCTCGGACCTACACGAATTATGTGTTAGCCAACTGCTTCACAGGGAGTCGAATAATGTCATACTAGCCGGCGAGCCATTATGAGATAGATATCACCCTGGCAAGGACTTGAAGAAAAGCGATGCGCCCTGTCGCATGATGCCCACGAATTGGAGGAGTATAGGGCAAAGGAGAAGACCAGGTTCGGTCAACTCTAGGATATAAAGGACAAGTATAATCTGTTTGGAGGATTGAAGTTCGCAGTTCACCCTCGACGCTTGGACCATGAAGGCGGTGACTCCTGAATGGTTCTAGCCTTTTCCCGATGTTTGTATGTTGGTGATTCATTAACTTGGCTATTCTTCCTCTTTTCACTGATATTCTCATTATCCCTGGCTAAATTTATGTGAAATTTATGTCCATCATCAACATTCACGTGCATCTAGTTGCAAGTCTATACAGGTCTACCTCCGTTCTACAGGCCGAGCGAAGCCTTGGCAGCCACATCACTCGCCGAAACCGTGCCGCTCAATATGTCTTTGGTGGTCGAGAGGATTGTGGACCAATTCTCAAAAGTCGTGTAGGGCATTCCCTTGCGCTGGCAGTAGGTCACCAGATCTGCAACAGCGTTAGTTCAGTGTCTCGGAATCTGGATTCTCAGCCGGTTCGGGCAGATGAATACCTTTGCCTTGCTTGGCGAAGAGAAGGTCAGTTTCTGCAGCCGCGGACAAATCAGAAACACCGTCTCCTGCGTATAGAAGAATCGGGCGCTCTCCATCGGGCAATGCGGCATAAGGCTTGATTTCCAGGGACTTGTCATGCCCAAAGTGGCTGGTGAATGATTGTCAGTGAGGCTGGCAGGATGATCATCGGACTGACAGTGGCTTACCTGTCATCATGGTACTCAATTTGCCAACCACCCTCGCTGTTGATATCCTTGCCATCCCGGCTCGCAGGCTCGTTGGAAATGATGGTGAGGTGGCTGGCTGGCTTGTGGCCGAGGAACTTCTCCAACAAGGCGCTGATAATGGGTCGCATTCCAGATGAAAGGATGACAATAGGAACGTTATTATCCTTGGCCCAGTAGTAGAATTCCTCGAAGTATGGGTCCAGCTTCATGTTCTTTAACAGCGTCTCGATGCACTCGTCGTACGGGGTCTTGATGCTTTCAAGCATCTTGCGGAAGGCATCACTATAATGAAGAAAGACTCATTAAGGCTTGCTTATGGGATAGACAATGTTTTTAACACTCACCGGAAGCTCAGAGTCTCGTCAAGGACCTGGTTGCCCAACACAAGGCGCTTTTCCCGGCCGAAGCCAAGGTTATCGATCTGAGTAGTATTAATGAGGATCTAGGAGAAGGTAACGATGCGCATACCATGAAGTCATTGCCTGCGATTCTAGTCAGCATTCAAGTACAGGCACTTTCTGGGGAAGCACCTACTGTCGTCGACTGTAATTGTCCCATCAAAGTCGGTGAAGAAGATGAGCTTAGGCTTAGTCTCCATGTACGGGAGAGCGTTAGAACCCATGATCGCTATATATATCAACAGATATAAATCAAAGATATGTACAATCCAGAGAATGACTGAGGAAAAGCAAGTCCTGGGATTAAAGATGTGCCCCTCGATTCGGTCACTGGGGGTGGGTCGAGCGGTACCGCAGCGGGCTAGTCGCGATCAGCCAGATTTTCCCTTTTCTGTTTATTGCAGGGCTGCTGTACTTCGTGTTTTGTTCGATATCATGTCTCGTCTGCGCCAGGCCCTGCAGCGCGTCTTTGGTGCGACTCCAACAGGCGCCTTGCGCTCTCGGACCATTGACACGAATTTCTCCATTATAAAAGGTAATTGTGTTGCAACGCCTCTTCCCAACATCAGACTAACGAAATGCGCAGAGGGAGACCGAGTCATTTTACACGGCAAACAACCCTCATTGTCAAAAGCATTGAAGCGAGGTGAAAAACTCCAGACTCCTCGCGGAGCAGTGGAACATGACAGCATCATTGGGAAACGGGTCTGGGACACGGTACAGTCTCGCAAAGGTCAACACACTCACTTTGCGGTATTCCCCGGACATGAAACTGATATGTCCGTTTTATACAGGCCTAAATCTTCGAGTCAGTCTCCCAACGTTAGAAGAATACGTCGCCCTGACCCCTCGCTTGGTCACGCCGGTACGCGCATCACTCCTACGGATCAGAGGCCGAGATACATTGGACTCACGCTATCCCAGTAGATCTATCCACAGGATGCCAATTTGATTGCTTCCCTTCTCGACATCCATGTCAACACTCCTGCTGCGGGCGAAATACAACCCACTATGGAAATCCTCGAGTCCGGAACAGGCCATGGATCCTTGACACTACATCTGGCGCGTGCCATTCACGCCGCCAATACCACTCCTCCGCCTCGTCCATCGCGATCTCAGATCAACTACCTAGAAGGCCGTATGATCAGGCCGGGTGAAAAGGACACAGAGCAAACAGGAGAGAAACCCGCGGAGCAAATCGCGGATCCGGCACAGGAGGAATGGGATGCATGGCGAACGCAGCGCAACGCCGTCATCCACACAGTGGACGTATCGCCGAAGTTCTCTGCGCTGGCTGAGAAAAACATCCGGGGATTCCGCCGTGGAATATATGCAGGCAACATTGATTTCTACGTGGGCCCAGTCGAAAATTGGATTGCCCAGCAGAAACAGCAGCGGGTAAAGACTGGCCTGGCTTCACTGACTGGGGGAAGCTCTGTCGACCCGTTCCTTTCGCACGTTATTCTAGACATGCCATCCTCAAACTTGAGGATCCCGCATGTTACCCCGATGTTGAAGCGTGATGGCTTCCTGGTGGTGTTCATGCCTAGTATCACGCAGATCGGCGAGTGTCTGCAACTGATCCGGGACCAGCGACTGCCCCTCGTTCAGGAGAAGGTGATCGAGCTTGGCTCTGGAATCAGCGGTGGCCGCACATGGGATGTGCGTTTTGCGACTAAAAAGTCTGGCGCCGACCCAGCGTCCTGGACTGTCCCTTCAGATGCTGAGGGTGCTACTCCTGTTGAGACCGACGAGCAGTCCGCCGCCTCTGATGCTGCTTCTGAGCTGTCCTCCGCAGAGGAGCCTCCGAAGGAAGGGGAGTCTGTCTTGGTCTGCCGGCCCAAGGTCGGAGTGCGTATCCAGGGTGGCGGTTTCGTCGCAGTCTGGCGGCGGATCGAAGACCGTTAAGTTCTCGGTCCAGCTAACCTGTACTATATACTTGTATTCTATTGCATGTCTGATACAGACTGAATGCATTTGTACCATATAGAGAATTGTAAGAATAATATCAACATGTCATGACAAGAAACAATCACTTCACAGCTTTGGCTTGCCCTCGGTCTCCGCATCCCCATGAACCTCAACACCCTCTACCTCATCCTGAACAAACACCCTCTTCGGTCCAGGCACTTTACTCAAAATCCAAGCCTTCACATCCGCAAGGAACTTCTCCGTTGTCTCGGGCAACTCGGCATGCAACTTATGATAAGCCCCCTCATAAGAACAAAACTTCACATCGCCACCCTTCTCAGTCAACGCCTTAACAAAGTCCTCCGTCGCGGCATAACTAGTAATGCGATCTCCATCCCCATGCCCAAACCAAAACGGCAGCTCACTCTTCACCCAAGCCCCAGGCCCAGCGGCAAACATCCCCTCCAACCAAATACCCCGGTCCAACATGCCAGCCAACCCCTCAAAAGTCCCAGTGTCGTGACACAGCGTATCAGCCACGACCTCCTTGACGACGGCCTCGTTACGAGACATCAAATTCGCGTCAAGTGGGGAATATCGCTGCTTATGCGGGACCATCTTTGCGACAACCCGCCCCGCCGAGACTGTCAGCTTCGAGGGGCGGGAGGATGGATCTATGGCGATTAGAGGGGAGTGCAAAAGCACGCCGGTGAAGTTGGGGCGGTTAGATTTGTCTCCGTTGTACGGTGACTCTGGGTGGAAAATGTAGTTGAGGACTTGACCGCCACCCATGCTGTGGCCCATTAGGAAGACGGGTACGTTAGTGTCGGAGGGTAGGCTTTGCAGGAAGGAGTGGATGTCCGAGAGGACTTGGGAGGTTGGGCCTGTGTTACCGCGGTCGCTGGGTTGTTTGACGCTGCGGCCCCATCCTCTGGTTTGGGTGTTAGTTAAGAGGTTTATAGTGAAAGAGGTTGGTTTCTTTGCGGTATTTATATTGAGACATCAGGATAGGGTATGGCCTTGGTGGTTTAAGACTTACCGCTGATCAAAAGACCTGACCTCAACACCTGCTGATGCCAGTGTTGGAAACAGATCGTGGTAGGCATTGCCTAGCAAGGGCTTGCGTCAATAACCTGTCTTCTGGAAGATGGGCTGTCTTGGCTTATTGTTCATAATAGACTCACAGTGGTCACTGAAGCCATGGATAAAGGCCAAAACAGCAAGTGGGGACCCACTGGTCTATAGAGTAGATCGCATTGTTAGCTCTGAAAATCAATATCCTTGTCTTCACGTTGGAGCCCATCTCAGCTTATTCGGATAGGTCAAAGCTGTTGCAAACATACCTTCCATGTCTTGGCATACAACTCAAGGCCGTCTGAGAGAGTGTGGACGCTTTCTTCTGTGTTCATTTCGGCTGTGGGGACTTGTACGGAAGCTTGAGAGGTGGCTAGAGAAGAGATGGAGTGCACGTTTAAACGTGAATGTACGACACGGAACCTCGGCAGGAATGTCAAGCCAAATACAGACTAACGCGATTTAGATCCACCAAGCCCCAAATCTATACTTAAAGCCTATTTATGTAGGGAGTATACTACAAAATTATATCCTAGCATAACTATTATACGGAGTACAACAACAGAAATAAGATAACTACCTATAAGATAGAATTAACACAACAGGAATGTCAAGCATATTCCATTTTCTGGACGTTAGCTGTAGATTCTTTGCCCGTTGCTCTGGCAAAATTTGCCAGCAACCCTGTTTGATCGCGACTACCCGTTGGTTCCCTGTTTTGTCCCATTTCTAGATTAGGTCCATGATCGCACTGGCCCTGGTCAATCTTCAGGTCCAAATTCAGATGGCAAGAGCCTCCAAGATTCCATGGGTCTTCAGGCCCACTTACCAAATTTTGATTGGTTCCCAGCTAACTGTATGTTGTCCAATCAAACTTTGTTCGTGACATACTTCTCCTTCGGGGCTACCATATCTCGTGCCAAAATTCCTGTCAACTTCTTAACTGTCTTGCTTTTTGTTACCTATTAACCTTGGATCTATGTTATATTACCTTAGACAACGAGTGCACTCGATACTTAGGCCAGCAATCGCACAATCTCTGCTGCGCCCCAAATATTCAGAAAGGATGTTCTCCGCCGTTCCTCAAGCGGTTGCGAACAACCACCAACCTGATGTCTCATATCGGACTCTGGCTTTATCCCCGAGTGAAGATAGCCCAGATATCCGCCACAAGTATCGACCATTCATCCTTGACGACAATTCAACTGAGGACTGGGTCAACAAATTAGACTTGGCCACCGCAGCAGACATGGCAGAAGATAACCTGCGGGTTACAAACGAGAGGCTGAAGGTCCTGGTACTCTATGGAAGTCTTCGCAAAAGGTCATATTCCCGACTTGTGGCATTGGAAGCTTCCCGTATACTTTTCCGACTCGGCTGTGATGTACGCGTCTTTGACCCCCAAGGTCTTCCCGTGAAGAACGAGAGTGATACCGCCCATCCTAAAGTACAGGAGCTCCGAGAACTCAGTCTATGGAGCGATGGACACGTCTGGGTTTCTCCTGAACAGCACGGCAATCTGGTGAGTGAACTCCCGTGATAGCCTTAACATTTAATGCAATATTTACTTACATGCTTTTCCGCAACACTAGACCGCTGTGTTCAAGAATCAGATCGATTGGATTCCTTTGAGCACTGGAAGTGTCCGCCCCACCCAAGGCCGAACGCTGGCCATTGCCCAGGTGTGCGGTGGATCGCAATCGTTCAATGCGGTCAACTCTTTGCGTATCCTGGGTCGGTGGATGCGCATGTTTACCATTCCGAATCAGTCTTCAATCCCCAAGGCATATACACAGTTCCCGGATGAAGGTCAACCAGGAGATCAACGACTCATGCCTAGTGGCAACCGAGATCGTCTGGTGGATTGCATGGAGGAGTTTGTTAAATATACGATTCTGATGCGGCCTCACATCGGTCTTTTTGGTGACCGTTTTAGTGAACGGGAGGAAAGGAAGATGAAGGAGGCAAAGCTGAATGCCGCTACAGCTAGTTGAGAAAAAAGAGAATAGAATAGAATAATATGGAGCGTGTCAGAAAGACAAATCTATTCTGGTATAATTGCTCAGCATACTTTGTTACCTCAACAAGCAACCTGACGACTCCTCGAGCTAAGGCTCACAGCTCTACGGAACCTTGGAAGATATGAAAGTTCTCTTCACATCAAATATTCGACAGCATTTTCGGTCGTCTAGTCAGGTAGTGGCCAATTCGCTCAGTTAAGGCATGAGCACCCGGACTCAGCTTTGCCGGTACCGTGGAAGTAAACACATTTGACGACGGGAAGGATCTCCTCAAAGGGTATCATTGTGCTGCTTACCTGGCCGTGGGTTTAGCTGTCGTTTCTCTAATTATGGCTATGGCACTCATGCGCATCCCTAAAGATATACGGGAGGGCTGGAGTGAGGAAGACGAGGCAGAATAAGACCTTCAATACAAATTATGTGTGATTTGTGTTGAAGGTATTGCATAGTTTATATCCAAATACAGATAGAATTTCAAATTCAAAATACATAATACTCGACCAAGACAGGTCGGGCAAGCTCGGAGTCGAGGAGGACGGAATCCGCGGACCCCGAGTACCTCAGCAGGCTGGCAGTTTTTATACATCCAGCGCAGAGCCACAACCATTTCTTCCAGTTGTTTTGCGATAAAGATTCAATCGAAATGTCCACATTCAATGGCTTAGAAATAACAACAGTAAGTCCACCCATCCAACTCTACCTAGAAACCCCATCTAACCCAAATAGGCATCAATAATCGCGGCGGTAGCCAGCGAAGGTGCCATCCACCCAATGGACACAGTAATAACACGAGTACAATCCCCAATGTACAGCAGCGTCTACAAGCACCTAAATGGCACATTCAACCGCACCCTCTTCAGCGGGCTGTACCAAGGTTTCGGACCAACCTTTGTCGCAGGGACACTCTCATCAGCGGCTTTCTTCACAGCATACGAAGCCTCAAAGGTGGCTCTTGACAATGCACAGTCCGCTGGATATATGCTCGGCGTTCCACGGCCGCTGATTCACGTTGCCAGCAGTGCTGTCGCTGAACTGCTTGCGCTCGCTTTCCAGAACCCGGCTGAGGTGTTGAAGCAGAATGCACAGGTTTTTCAGCGGCCACTTAATGCCCAAAGAGGGCCGTCTCCGACAATGGAGATGCTGCGTCAGTTTAGAAAATATCCTTCTGGCCTGTGGGCTGGGTACACTGCGTTAGTGGCAAGTCAATTACCGAGTATGTGTCTTACATTTTGTTTGTATGAGATGTTCAAGGAGAATTTGCTTGAGCGGTGGAAGACAGAGAAAGGTGATGTCAGGCAGCAGCTTGAAGCGACTGTTTTGGCTGCTGGTGCTGCCGGGGGTTGCGCGTCTTGGTTTTTTGTTCCTATCCACGTGGTCAAGACGAGGATGAGGCTTTCGGTTGGTGAACAAACAGGCAGCACCCGGTCGAGTCTCAAGGGAGCCCCTGGTCTACCATCCCGTGTTGGAGCATTTTCTATCGCTCGAGACGTGCTGCGGAAGGAGGGGGTAGCTGGGTTGTTTCGGGGATCTGCTTTGACCTGCGTGGCAGCGGTTGTGGGAGGTGGACTCTATATCGGGTGTTATGAGGGGGCTAAGATATACTTGTGCAATTATCAAGCCTTGTAGTTGGCACGGCTGGAGAGTATTCCAAGCCGAATGTATTATATGATATGCGTAGTAGAATAGAACCACTCTCCTCCTTCCGTGTCTTTCGTCTTATCACAGAGTGAAGAAGACTACATATGTAAGTAGAGACGTCACAACAATGCCCTCAACCGCAAGGGGAAAGGAGTAACCTTCAATTATCTCTGCCGCAGCACCTTGGGGGCATTCCGGGCAACGGAGATGGCGCTGTTTGCAATGTAACCCTCTGCGACAAGCTTCTCAGTGTAATCCTGCAACCAATTTTGACAATTCGGCGCCTGTTTGATTTCAGTCAAAATCTGCTGCTATACCAATAGTACCTAGGAGTACATACTAAGGATTTGTGCTGCGACCAGGAGGCTGTACCGTGGTGGTGACTGACTCGAATTGATCACGGGCAATGGTATCTTCCACTGGTTCTCTGCCGGAGGTATCATATATAAACAGATTCACTTGCGCGAGGGGAATCTGTTGGACAATTCGGCGAGTGGCTTCGAAGTCATAATTGCGCCTGAACTGGAGGAAGAACCCCGTGGCCGGATTTCCAGTCATATGGATAAGTTTTCCAAGGTCCCCCGTTTTGCCCGCCGCGATGTACACAGCGTGGTGGGCAGGTTTCGGACCGTTGGAAGAAACTGGAAGAAACTGGAAGGAACGATGAGGTAGATAGTGCGAGGCATTGGGATGCAAACAAGGGAAGTATACACTATACAGATAGTTTGTATAAGATGCTCCTTGTCTGATTGTGATGATTAAGATGAGGACAGAAATGTGGTCATCAAGGGATTTATATAGATCATCTTGCTGGCTATTTTCTCTCGTGACCGTCAGAATCTCAACGTAATACGCGCCCAAAAGCTCCTTGTGAGGCTGAGCATGCTCCAGCTGAGCGCGAGGATACAATTTCAGCCAGTGGATTTTGATAGAGAAGAGATTCTGAGACTCCTGTGGGAATAGGTTGCATCGGTCGTCGAAGCCAAGAACTAGGTCAGTGGGCGTAAATGTACGCACCAGCATCCAGTTATAACCAGCAGGTGGGATCCATAACGCCCAAGAATAACTGAGCAACTGGGTGGTATGGATTGGAGACGCCCGGAACTTCATAGGCACGTAGGTCAAACAGGAGCAGAGCCGCGCGCCATCTCGAACGAGGCTGCGTGCTTTTTTAAGGGCTTTTGTCTCACACGCAGACAGACCCACAACTATGACTCGAGAAGGAAACGCCCGGCACAAAGTACTCCTGCTTTCCAAGAACTAGGGTATCTCAGACTTTAGATCTCGGCCAACAGATTATTAAAGATGCGTGCGCTAGGACCGGGCGCTAGCTGGGTGTGACTGATGCCTAACACACCCGCCCCTCACTAGGTACAGTTATCCGACCACTCCCAGTTGCTCTTAAAATAAAATAAAAAATTATATTTGTATCCTAGGACACTTGTGCTTCACCGGTAAGCAGTAGTAATTTCAGTTTCCAATATCTATAACCTTAGCATCCTTTCTACAACTTGACCAATAAATGAAAGTAACTGGGTATGATTCAAAACTGCTGCTAGTTTAACACCCCAAAGACGATGTATACCAATCCCACGGATCCGCAGTGCTCGCGTATTGATCTAGGATCATTGGCAAATATTTCGTCGACCACTCCCCACTACCGACAGTGTACTGCGCTTTACGGGCCTCCCAGTACTCAGGTAGCCAGCCAGACTGTTCCCAGTCGACGATAGCAAGGACACGATATGGTTTAGAATGTGTTATAATAATATTGCTGCGATGGGAGTCGCCGTGGGTGAACTTGATAGAGCTATCATCAGACAGCTCATGACGAAATGGTTCAATTGGAATAGAGTGCGGATCGGCCATCGGTCTGCGACAGAGAAATGTGAACCACTCATGAAACTCGTGGACTGAAGCGAAGGGTCCGGCCTCCGATAGGTAATTAAAAGGGAATACTCTGTCGTAAAGAGGAGATCGCTTAATATTGCCTAGGAAAAGTTAGATATATAATGAAAATAACTTAAAAAGAACATTTGGAGAGGTGTTAGGGCGGTACAAACCTATGAATGGGTCTGAAGGATCTTGTTCAAGCTGGCGGAGATTATCGAAAACTGTCCGGAGCTGATGGCAGACTGTATCGCGTTCATTATCTTCCAGCGAATCCCAGGCTTCCTCTAAAGTCCGTCCATGCATATATTGCATGTAAATAAACTTCTCATCCCCAACAGTGCGCCACCCGTATACTTCAGGAACTGGTACACGGTCTTTCAGGAAACGGTGCACAGCATAGATAGACTGGGCCTCGGACATTTCCACCTGAATTCCCCACTTGACAACTAGGCCCAGGTCTTCAAACACCGCTGGTGGTGGTTTCATATGACGTGCGCTTGTCCAGACTGGTTCCTGAGAGCCACTGTGCTTTGGCCTTCTCCCGAACTTGTTTTGGGGAAGGTAACTCGCTCCATTTATTGAAGAATAAAGAGTCCTTCACGTCAAAATTGGACGCATCAGGGATCATTGACGGTGTCAACTGGAGGCGCCCATGTTGGCTAATCAACCCGGTTCTTGGACCGACTAGCAGATTGTGGATAAAATCCGCCCATGATCTGATGTAAGGAAAGAATATCTTGAAAATTGCAGGAAGCATCTCAACAATAAATGCGAGTAAGAAGTAATCAACTGAGTCCAAAAGCTAAATTCAAGGGTGCCCAAAGGCCATGTGACTTTCAGCTCTCGTTGGTCAAATGATCCAGGGGCTGTTCTGTAGTTCGTTCCCTCGCACCATCATGCTTTCCACTGGCCTGTGCTATGACGCGTTTCTGCTTTGTGTATCCTACCATGTCAATCAAAACAAAGAACATCGAATAATAGGTACACTTCTCTGAAAACTCTGTTAAATTCCTGGGACCGTCATCTTCTATCTCGGACTTACGTCTAAGATGCTTTGAAGGTGGACTGGATTGTTTTGATAGGCTACACGCGTTGGAAAGGAAAGCCTATAGCAGTGGTGAGCTGATAACGGTTGAGAAAGTCGCCAGGTGGAGGCAAGTTGTATTGCCAATTCTTACCTCCACGGTCACTTAAAGCTGATTGACATGCCGAGAGAACGATATAGCGAAGTAGGATGGAATTAATGGCTCGTTTCATATGAACACCTGGAATCAAGTCCTCTGCACTTTCTGTTGTGGAAAGCCGTAGTGTGATTCGCGTGTGATATTAGTTGGAAATTGAGGTGGACCGTTCAGTCAGGATCACTACACTATATACTACATGTGTGCCTTGTATACCAACGGCAAGCTGGACTGTCAGTGCAATATATCAGGACCATAGTAGTCCCGGGGATCATGCGTGTATTACAATGTCACGATGAACGAGCGTATAGCCAAGACTCCATGCTCAGATGGGAAGGGCATCCTGGCCCACATTTACCAGCAACGCTGCTGACCATAGCTACAAAAGAACACCGAAGACTGAAAATGAACAAAGCCATGCTCTATTCTTGATTGAGCCTCGCATAGGACGAATGGCGCAATAAACACGTACAAGGAACAGACAAAACTCCCTTCGCCTGGAAAAAGAAAACGAAAAGCAACCTCGTCACGGGCAAAAAGCAGATACCCTTCACCACCTGTTCCGCCCGAACACCAATCCCCGATCCTAAGCGTCGTGAAGCCGTCTCAGATGAGGTTAGAGATTAGGTGAAATGAAACCGAGATAAATCAGGAAACTTAAACGGAAGACACAGATGTAGAGAGTGAGGTTGAGAGACAAAGGGGGTTTGGAGGGAAGAGAGAACGCCAGGGAGTGAATGGAGACTGCCACGCCGTTTCACTACATTCAACGGACACAAGCCAAGACCATTGTTCGAGGAACAGATACTCCGCTAGCAACTCAAGAGGATACAGAGGACAAGCGAGAGGAAATGGAAGGACGTTCATAAGCAGGAGAGAAAACACAAGAGAAAAAGAAAAGAGATACGTGAAGAAACACCATAAGACGGCTGGCTAGAGAGCCACCACCCAAAAAGATTCCGAAATAACAAGGACGAAGGAAAGGAACCGGTTCGAAAAACACCCCATCTCCGAAGATTTCAAATGCTCCACGTCGTTAGTGCCGTTGTGGCCCAAAGTCTGCCTCTACCACCTTGCCCTTCTTACCCTTTACCGTAAACTCCGCAAGCAACGCCACATGATCACTCGGGAAGTGGAAATTCGGGAACCCGGGCACGCGGCGCAGATATTCCTTGTCCACTTCGCCGAGCAACGCGGACACATGGAGAGTGTTGGACGAGTACCAAACATAATCGAGAATGGCCGTAAAGTCGGAGGTGTAGTTGGTGAAGCTTAGTTCTCCCATGGAGGAGTACGCGGACTTCAACTTGAAAGGATGTGTCATACCAACCTTGCTGAGGTTTCCGTAAAGTCGCTTCTCCAGATCGGGATGGTCCTCGGGAAGTCGTCCAGTGGAGATCAAGTTGTAAGCCGCAGACCCCGGTGAGGAGTTGAAATCACCGCACATGAGAACAGGGATCTGATCGCCACTGGTGTACTCCATCGAGGGGGCCGGTTCCACGACGGGCGCGGTCTCTGAGCCACTTTCGGCTTCTGAGAAGCGGAATGCAGTCTTGTCTGTACAGGCGGGCCACTTGGCGTAGTTATCCGAGAGTTTGGTAATCTCCTCCATCAGGATCGCAGTCTGAATAAGTTTGACGTCCTTAAAGGCAGGATCCCAATACAGATGAGCATTCACACTGATAAAGCGAGCACCGGTTTGCCGGTTTTCCAAGAAGATCACAACGGCGATGTGGTCCTTCTGCCACAGTCGGTTGTAGATATCATCTTGGCCCTTGGCATCAGGTCGACGGACGGCTGTCTGACCAAAGTTGATCAATTGCTTGTCCAACAGGATGTACTTGCTTCCCTTGAAGAAGGTAGCGCATCCATCGACCATCCGGGCGTCTTCCTCCTGCATGCCCATTGCACGACCACGCGGCCAGTAGACACCTTTGTAGTCATTGTAGGCAAGCTGTTCCCGGAAGAAGTTGTTGTAGCTTCCCTGATCAACCTCCTGAAGGCAGACAATATCTGCGTTATGGGATCGTAATTCGTTAAGAATAAGCTCGCGGCGGTATTCCCAGGACAGGACACGTGAAGGCACATAGCCATAATGCGATTGGGTTGCAGAAGAGTCACACAGAGTGTTGTACGACAGTACGGTGATCTTTTCCGTATTACTGTTGGACGAGGTTGAAGTATCATCGAGAATCACCCAGTCACGGTCAGGAGGAGGTAGGTGAACTGTAATGATGAAGTTAGCGAAAAATCTCGCGCAAATATGCTTGAGAGCGGAATGAGTAGTTGAAACGCACCTGGCATTTCTTCTTTCAGGTACTTGATGACAGCCTTGGTTCCGTCCTTCATGATCTGAGATTTGAGGACATCATTCAGGGGATTGCCCTCGATGCCCAAGGTTTCCAACCGGTAAAGGTATCCCATTTCGTAAGGGAGGGTGCGAATGTTGTTATCGAATAGAAGGAGTTTCTTCAGGTTTGAAAGCATGCCAAGTTCTTCTGGTAGCTCCGTGAGTTCGTTGCCTGACAGATCCAGATGGTTCAACTTCCGCAGTTGTCCAATAGCCGGGGGCAGCACCTTCAACTTGTTAGAGTTGAGGTACAGCTTCTCAATGAAGCGATAGGTGAACAACGAAGTAGTCAAAGCGCGCAATCCTTGGCCACCGAAATCAAGCGCAATCCAACCCTGTCGGCTAGCTGGCTTCCCCGCAGATGCACCATTTCGCCCATCCGTCCCATTTTCTGTGTCAGTGTTGCTGGACATGAGCTGGATTCCTTTCGTTTGTTGCGCAATGACGCGGGCATGGTAGTGGGGAGAAGTGGCTTGTCTCGATTCCGCCGCAAGCTGGAGCTGCTGCTGCCAATGCTCGTTCATTGATTCATCAAGATCGTCCTCCGCAGTCGGTACTCCGTTCTGCAAATGAGTCGAATTGAAATGGGAAGTTGTCGTAGTGGCCAGTGCGCCGCCGGGGAAATTGTGTTGATGAGGGAGGTTGTGGGTCGCTTGTGTGTGGTGGGCATGATGATGCGGCTGCTGTGTGTGATGAGAGTGGTGGGTTTGCGACTGGAACTTCGGGATCGGCATGCCAAACCGCTGGTGGGCTTGACCGCCATTCATCATGACATGCTGACCTTGATGGGTTTGGCCGTACATGTTGTTGAAAGGGCTGAGAGCAGCAGCCTGGTTTAGGGCAGGAGATCGAGAGGGGGAGGGGGTGTCGGTGTTGAATTTCAGTCGACCCGTCGGAGAATTGGTCCCGTTTCGAACGATGTGTCGCTGGTGAGGGTTCTGCTGTGCTTGAGCTTGGAAGTAGAACTGCCCGGCCCCAGGCTGCTGGAACCTGTAGGTACCATCTGCCATTTAACGTGGCAGACGAGACCGTGTTTTGTTTCCCTGGTGGAAAACCTGTTGGTTGGTGGGCGGCGCTAAGTTGAGTTGGGTCAAGGAGAGGAGAGGAGAGGATCGGAGACGGTCTCTTCTCTTCTTCCACATAGAGGCCTAAGGCAAAACCACCTGTATCAAACCACGATTGAAGGTCGCCGGTGACTTTGGCACTGGGAGTATCTTTAGGTGTGCAATGGTTGCGGTACCTAAGGGCGGAGATTGGGCGGAAGGGTCAAAAGAAGGCGTGATTGTAAAAGCAAAAAGAGATCGAGTGATGGTGAGTCGAAGAAAAAGCAGTGGGGCAAGATTGACGTAGCAAAGATGAGCAAACCAGACGATTGTCTCCAGGTTGATGAGGACGACCTGAGATGACACTGGTGGTTTGCAGCGAGGCGGGAGTCACGGGATCACGTGAATCGCCGCAAGGGCCAAAGTCTTTCCCAGCTTTGATGAGCTTGAATTGCCAAGACACAGTCGATGCCTCTAAATAGTTTGGCCTTTTTTGAGGAAAACTTTTGAAATGGATCATATATCCTTCATCTATCTCACACATTTATGTTACTTTTGCAATGGATGGGACTGTTTATATGAAAACTAGCCACGTGGTCGACTTTGCCTGCCAAAACAATGAGCATATGCAACTGTCTTTGGCAAGTCGAACCTGCGTCAGGGTTTGATTCTGCCTAGACATCTTGTTTGAAGCTAGCCAACACTAGGGGTACACACAATGAAAGGAACCTGGGTTTAGAATAGAGATATATACATATAGCCAAGTTGTCCGGCAAAGAGAGAAAGAGAGCTGGACCAGAAGATTAAAAGACTGAACAATGGCCTGATCTAGTCTAAGCCCTCGCTTATAATATCTAAAACTTTTAAATTGAGTCTGGCCTTTTTTTGATTTTGTCTTATGTGTAGAGAATC